CAAGTATGACAGGTCATTGAGAAGATAATTTTAAGGAGAATTCGGCAATATAATTATTGATTGGATTACTTTTGATTTTAACGCTCGACAGCAGTATACAAAACTGTTACCTATTGTAAAGTTTGTCACTTCATTTGGAAGCTAATTATATTCAAAATTTAATGCGTAGCATATTTTTTTTATTTTGGTTGATTACACGATAAAGTTTCTATTTCTTAACGTTTGAATTCTACATTTATGTAAGTTCTTGTGTCATTCAATTATGTTTTGTTATGATGTTTATACGGCTCGACCGTGTTGTAACATATACTGAAAAAGAATAAGAAAAACTTTTTTTATTTTCACCTTTTAGAAAAAATGTTATTCTTCATAAAAGTTTTTGTTTGTTTCAAAACTTATAATAATCCAAATACAAGTTGAATATCACTTTGCAGTAGTGAAATTATGACAAAAATGTAAAAACATTGTATTTTAAAAACAATGAATAAATGAATGAATGAAAGTACTTAGGTTGAACAGAAAGTTCTTAAAATCAAACAAATTTCTAAGTTAGAAAAAATTATTTTGTAAGGAAAGAGATTCAACTTCTATTTGGTTTATTATTAATTTTAAAATAAAAATTTTAAAAACTTACATTTTTTCAAGAAGGTGAAAATAAAAAAGTTTTTACTTATCTAGATGAAAGTACTAACTAGTACCAAAAAACTGAGTACGTCAATACAATTTAATCGAGTACTGCTCAGATTTGCCGACACTTTATGTTACTTACTTTGAAAATATGTTGATCTAGATCAGTGTTACTCAAAGTGAGCTCCGCGGAGCCCTGGGGCTCCGCGAAGAAATAATAGTAATGATTTTAAAAAAAGAAGCAGTACTATCGCTACAAAAGGGAGAGACCTGGCTTGAAGACCTTTTTTTTACTAAGAAGGAGGATTTGATTTTGCATGAGGACCTTATTTTTAAAAGTCACTCAGAGGTTGAAGAGTTGAGGACTTTTCTGTTTTTTTTTTTTTTCGTTTTTTTTTTTCGTTTTTTTTTTTGTTTTTTTTTTGTTTTTTTTTTTTGTTTTTTTTGTTTTTTTTCCGATTGACATTAAAGGTCACTTTTAGTAACACTTCTCGATCATAGAAGTAACACTTTTACTGCCTAGGCATTAATAATTTACTTTCTCTTTGAACGGGTGGCACTCGTCTTTCCTCGCACACGTGGGGTTTAGCAACTGTAGCACAGGTAGAGTTAGGTACTGCTTTATGAAAAACGAAGGACCAGGATTTCTTCCAAAAATATATTTACAAACGTGTACAAATCAACAGATCTTAACAGTTTAAATAAATTGCTTAAAAAATGCAATGGAATGCGTGAACTTACTATTTATTAGACGTGATTTTTTAATGACTTTTTGTGTGACATATTTTCCCTACTATGTTTTTTATATAAAGAAGGTGTAACCTAGTAAACAGTAAGGAGTCTAAGGCAATAAAATAAATAACAACTAAAACTAAGTATTTGGAACCAAAGAGTTTGGGACCAAACACTCTTCTTTTCTCTTTTGAAGTCTTGCTCTGCATGAGCACCGGACAAAAAAGTTACTGTAATAAATTAACTACAAAGTCACTGTAAGTATATTTGTATAAGAATTGAAGGTATATATAGTTATAAAAACAACGATTAGAATAAATATTAAAAATGCGTGAGTTGTATCTGTTATACTTAAAAGAGGTTTTTATTTATTTTTTTTTTGTAAACACACTATAAATAATCAGAAAAAAAAATTATGATTCAAACGACAGATAAACAGTTTTACTGCCTTGGCTAGTTTCATTGCATCGGAGTCACCTCGGCAATCTAATATTAACCGCGGCAAAAAAAATTGTTACTTCTCTGCCTAGTTAAACAAATAACAATTTTCTAATTCTGACAAATAAAGTAATATATTATATTTTGTAATCGCAAGTGTCAAAACGATCTGTTTTATGTAACCAGTTGCATAAAGTAGAACATTATGCAACTAATTACGAAAAGTTGATTATGTCACCAGTTACAAAATGAAAATAAATAAAAATGCCTTTTTTAGTTTTTAAGTCGAAAAATCGAAAAATCTAAAAATCGAAAAATCGAAAAATCGAAAAATCGAGAAATCGAAACAAAAAAATCCAAAAATCCAAACAACGAAAAATCGAAAACACCAAAAATCGAAAACATCGCAATAAATAGTGACATTTCATATTTGAAATTGCGTTTTACTTTTTAAATATTTGAACACCGTTATTGAAAACTGCCCAGAAATGTTGGGGTTAAAATTTTGACGAACTCCTTTAAGGATAATGGGTAAAAGGTTTTTTTTTAAATTTCACGCAGGTAATGTTAAAAATCGCTTATTTTTATTATTACTATTAAAAAAAAAACGTAGGCCAATATTTGATTGGAAGTACCTACAAAAGAATGATGGTGAATCATTTTTTAACCAATCACAATTTTATAAATAACCAAGTAAAAATTAGAAAAAAATCTTGCATGTGACACGTTATGAAATGCCGTTTTGTGTAACTCGTTCGTTTTGCGGGACCTCTCTCCGCTCGTCCCGCAAATATTTGCTCGTTACACAAAATATGGCATTTCGTAACTGGTTACATAAATAGCTATTAATTGACTTCCTAATATTTAAAATCATCGAAGAGTATTTTCCGTAAATAATTAAATGAAAAAATCATATAAGTACTAAAACATTTTTTTCTCTTATGTCAAATAAACTTAAAATATTATAATGAAAGAAAAGGTAACCCATTTCTAATAAAATTTAATTATTTTATTTTGATGTGATCGTAGAAAAAATCTTGTATGTAATTCGAGCAGAAAGTACTTTGGCAGTTTCGATAAATTTTTGTTTCAATATCTAAAGTGTTACTTTCTGCTCATAATAAACAAATAGCTACACGGAAAAAAAATTGTAGAACAAATTTCTACAATTATGGATTTTTTCTCTACAATAAATAGTACATATAGGGACAGGGACAATTTGTAGTAAAACTTTCCAAATATTTGTGGAGAATGTATTGTAGGGTTATTATCTACAATAGTTAGTAAAAATATCCAAATGCATCATAAGAATTGTTCTACAAATTGTTATAATTTTTGCTATTCATTGTATGAATTTATAATAAAAATGTATTGCGTTTTATGAAATTAAATACGAAAATTTTACACAATAAATAGTAAAAATTCATACAAATTGTAGTAATTTTTAATAAAATTTGTAGTAGTATTCTATAATTATTATAATTATAACCTAGAAAAAAATGTTCTTTAATAAAATATTCAATTTATTGTTTTAATATAAAAGATACAAAGTCTTAATTACATTATGTAATAAATAACAGTAATAATAGCGCCCTCAGTCTCAGTTGACTTTTCTGCACCTGAAAAATATGAAATAAAAATTAATACCAATTGAACTGTTCATACCCTTAAAACGGGGATATTTATCACCTTTACACTGATTTGGATATTAAATGACTAAGTCAGATAACTAACAAAAATGAGAAAGTAGGTATGTCACAATTAAGACAAAAAAACATCATTGAACTTGGCACAAAATTCGATCGTTGGGCACAACATTCGATCGTTGGCCACAACTATTTTTTTAAAATAATCTACTAAGGTTATTTAAATTAGTTATCTAAGGATAAATTATTCAGAAACAATAATAAATGTACTTACCACCAATAGAATTTATTATTAAAATTTTCTCAAACGCATCGGTGGTTATAATATAATAATGTGTTATAGGTACTCGTATATGTACCATGCTTTGTTATGTGAACATGGCGAACGGCTACTGCTGTCTGGCCATTTATGATCGACGTCAGAAAACGTTGGCCAATAGTAGAATTCTGTTTTGTTCACATGACTTAGAATTTCTACAATATTATAGAATATTTTTGAACAAAATTGAATTGTTTTCATAAGAAGGGATGTAAAGTATTACTATTTTTTGTAGAGAAAATTACTATTTTTTGTAGAGATAATTATTAATATTTGTACAAATTTTTACAGAAGTTAGTAGTAGTAATTACGATAATTGTAATAAATTTCTACTTCTTCAAACAATAGTAAAATATACTAAACATTGTGGACTTCTTTCTTATTGTTGTAGCATTTTATTCGACAATTCAATTGCTACAATAATTAATAGGTTTTAACTATAAATTGTAGTAAAATTTTCTACAAATTGTTGAGTATTTTTCTACAAGTCTACTACTACAACATTGTAGTAAAATTTTCTAGTCATATTTTTTTCCGTGTATTTTGTTACAATAATTTTATAAACTTTTACTTAGGGCCACCGTTGTGTTAAACGAAATTTAAAATACTAAACGAAGATTAAAAAGACATTTTTACATTAACAAAAAACGAAGTTTAAATTACTAAACGAAAATTAAAATGACATTTTTACATTAACAATATAATTTTAATCTTCGTTTAGTAATTTAAACTTCGTTTAATACAACTGTGGAATCGGTCCTTAGCTATATATTGATAAAGTGTTGTTGCCCTCATCATAAATTAATTGTGCTAACAAATGAAGTCAAAAAAAAAACGTTTTATATTTTTTTATCTTTTAGTTACCTACCAAAATTAGGTACTACAATACAAATATTTAAGTCCGGCCCAGATTTTCTTTTTTGTTAGAAAGGGGGTATCCCAGGGGCGATCAGATATAAATTTTGTCGATATCTGGTGGTGGCATCTGCACTATTTTGAAGTCGGTTTTATAAAGTTACTTTTATAACTAATTTGTTTTTACTGCATACCTGAGAAACCGGCCCTGATATTTTGGTTTTCAAATCATCGAAATATACAACTCTTTCCCCATTTAATCAACTTTGTGTTACATATTGCAATACATTGGCCAACCTGTATAAATAACTATTGTCGGTTCCGATGTTTTGGCAAACACGCATTAATTTAATTTACCGGTACAATAATATTTGAACACTCACCTGAATATATTTAGTAATTCGACACTTTATTTTGTAACTTTATAGGCACTTTAAGACTTGACAACGTACTTCCAACTAGTAATACGAATTTATTGAACTCTCTCAATTTACCAACATCTCCGTTATTCCATCAGAGGTCATAATTGGAACGATAGTAAGCAAAAGAAATAAAAAGAATGAATACACGTCTGGATAACGGAACCCTGGTATCATCTAAATCGGTTAAATCGGCGTAGTTAGGATATTTTCAAATAGGGGTCCTGCGAGATCATTATTTGCAATTCGTACAAAATGTTTGTTTATTTGACTATTGACATAAAACGTGTGTACATAAAATACTAGAAAAGGGATCAGACACGCTTTAAAAGTTATAAATCAATATGCTTAGCCCAAATCAACTTTATAATGCACACAAGAATAATAAAGAATGATATGTATTATCAAAATTATAAAGGAACCATCAGCTTTCAGATCATAAAAATGGACAAATACCAACAGGAGAGAGAACCTAACATTCATCGACCTGAGAGAAAGAAATAAAACCCACTTTTGTTCATAATCATAATACATAAAATAGTCAATAGGCCAGTCAGTAAAGACATCCTATTTTGAACAGTTCACATTATTTACAAAAGTTTACAAATGTTGCAATAATAATCGGCTAGTTTAAATAACACTAAGTTTAAATTTGCAACCATTTCCTAGATCAGGAACTAGTTAATTTATACCAAAATGGCGCTTTTGTTTATATATATAAAGTTACGTTATAGTCGCGTCAAAGTAGGTTTTCACTTCGAACTTTGGTCGGAAAGGTCCAATCAGGCTAATTTTATTTGCAAAATGTTCATTGGGACATGAGATTCAAAGTTCACTAAAATCTAGATGCCGCTCGGCCTCCCTCCCCCCAAATTTACCCCAATTGGGGGGAATTCTCGGCTTTTTTTAACAAAAGGCGCATACTTCATAAAACTGCAGTCCCAAGCGGGGTAAATGTACCACTCGGGGGTTTTAAAGTACTCTGAATCCATTATTTGGGTCAGGTCGCCTTTGCGACCTTCCCAGGGGTGGGTGACAGGGCCACTGGGGGTCCAATATACTAGATGTCCGTGGAAATGTATTTGGGCTCCCAAATGGCGCTAGGGGAGTTTAGAAGGGCGGAGATCTCAATGTCATCGAGAATTAAGCCTTTTCAAGCCCTCAAGGTCGTATAAAAAGGGGCATGGGGTCTCAAATATCATGATTACGCGGGATTGAATTTCAGGACACAGAATTGGTACGCGCTCGTGTTATAAAACAAACAAATCTAAATTTGGGCAGCCTGTCATCCTGTGACCCAACCAGGGGTTTCCGAACAGGGTGCTGGGCCCAAAATATGAGATTTGATTTTATTTGATATCAAAATGTAAAATTGATATAATTTCTCCACCGAGTATACTTCTTGGTCTTTTTGAGTCTCTGACGAACCTAGATATGGCTGATAGGGGGGCCAAATTTAAATTCTCGTAAAATTCAATTTTTTCATATAAAGTTGATGACGGCATAATGAGGGTTTTTATGGGTGTAATTTTATGTTGCAAGCATGTAGCCCCAGGGCTGCACGAACAAGCGTCCTGAGGGGCCGAAACTATCATGTTCACCTGGGACGATTCGATTTGATTTCATTACATAAAATTGATATAACTCACCTGGCCGGGAAGCTAACCTTTTAAGGCTGGAAAAACGGTTGCGGTGGATATGGAATTGAAAAAGAAATACTTCAACGTGAAATGGAATTACATTTTTTCATGAATATTTAATGTAGCCTGGTGTGATAGAAAAATTTGACATTTCAACAAAACAATTCTTACAGAATAATTTTTTTCTTTTTTCTACAACAAATTCATATTCCATCGTGTTGTGTTCTTCCATCTTCTTGTTCAGCTTGTTCAGAATTGCAATTAAGAACCTTCAGGATTTCGTGTGATGTGATGGCCAAGTGCCCCAACCCTAAACATCTAGATAATGTCCTTGTTGATCTGGGCATGTCGTTGTATTGGCTGAGATTAAATGCCACTCGAATAAACCATTGGTTAGCTGCCTGGTCGGCGCAATCATATGAATTTTATATAATGAAATCGAATCAAATCGAGTCCCAGGGGAAACTTGATAGTTTCACCCCCTCAGCACCCTTGTTCGTGGAGCTCTGGAGCCGCCTGCTTGCAAGCCAGGGCAACATAAAATTACACTCTTACAAACCCTCATCATACCAACTTTGTATGAGAAAATGGAATTTTACGAGAATTTAAATTTGGGGCCCCTTGGAACCCCTATCGCTCATACCTGGGTTCGTCAGAGACTCAAAAAGGCCAAGGAGTATACTCGCTGGCGGAATTATATTAATTTTACATGTTGATATCAAATAAAACCAAATCTCATATTTTGGGCCTCGGCACCCCTTTTAGACACCCCTGGTTGGGTCACAGGATGACAGGTTGCCCAATATAGAGTTTGTAGTTTTATAACACTAACGCGTACCAATTCTGTGACCTGAAATTCAATCCCGCGTAATCATGATATTTGAGACCCCATGGGCCCCTGTCTATACGTCTCTGATGGCTTGAAAAGGGTTAATTCTCGATGAAATTGAAATCTCCGCCCTTCTAAACCCCCCTGACGCAACTTGTCAGCCCAAACACATTTCCACGGACATCTCATATTTTGGACCCCCAGACGCCCTGTCACACACCCCTGGGAAGGTCGCAAAGGTGACCTAACTCAAATATGTAATGGATTCAGGTACTTCAAACCCCCCGAGTGGAACATTTGCCCCGCTTGGGACTGCAGTTTTAGAAAGTATGTGGCTTGTTGAAAAAAGCCAAGAATTCCCCCCAATTGGGGTGAATGTGGGGCGGGAGGGAGGCCGAGCGGCATCTAGATTTTGGTGAACTTTGAATCTCATGTCTCAATGAACATTTTGCAGAAAAAAATAGCCCAATCGGACCTTTCCGACCAAAGTTCGAAGTTTCTGCGTTTTTAGTCCTACTTTGACGCGACTATTAAGAAATATATTATTAAACTTGGATTGCATGATGCGTCATTTATAAAAGTATTTCAAATACCGATGTCGTTGAGATATAAAAATATTTGGTCCATCTATATTGGCCTGGTGTAAAAACTCGTTTTCCAGATGAAATTTTGTATCAGTGGGTCAAGAACCAACTTTTCGTTAAACCTTAGGAACATTTATTTGACCCTGCAGGACCTATTTAAAAATGTATGTATAGATTTTGGGTGTTTGTTAGTTGTAAGAAATCCCATTTTATTCTCGGAATTAATATTATACATATGCTTCACTTTCAGTTATAACTTTTATACAGGGTGTTTTTTAAACATGCGGCAAAAATTCAAGGGGTTGTTCCTTGGACTATTCTAAGAATATTTTGTCCTTTGATGATTTTTAAAATTCCGTTTCGTTTTTTCGGGAAAACTATATTTATTATTTTTAAAATTATTAATAGTTAACTAAAAAAATCTGATGTGTCCAACACATGACTTTCCTATCTAGTTATTACAGGCTTTTTCCGGTTATTTTGTACAACCCATTGCAGCACCTCTATAAATGTTTAGAGGATAAACTAAATATACACATTTTCCACATACATCTACCTCGAAACATTTTTCTATAGATATTCATTGAAAACGAAAATACTAAAGAATTTAAATTTAGCACTTTTCCTAAAATTTTTCCATTACGGTCCATTTTAGAAAAATCATGTATAAACAAAAATTATAGAGATTGATATCGCAAACAACTTTTAGTTTAACAATTTTCATAAAAATCAGAATTTTGTACATTTTGTCAAATTTCTCGAATACGGACCATTTCAGGAAATTTCGACATAAAACAAAAATTATAGATAATAATATTAGAAGTAATTTTTATTTGAACAATTTTTTTCTCCAAACATAAATAACAGATATATTCCATAAAATATAAAAACGGCCTTTTATAAAGTACCCTCCCAGATGTTCCGACTTTGTCCAAAATCTAATCATTTTACGTCAGGCCGAAATAAAACTTAGGTTTAAAATTTATTGTTTTTTCTTTATCCGTTTTTGAGTTTTCTTCAAATTTTTAAATTTACACATTTTCTCAAATATCTCAAATACATTCCATTTTAGAGAAATTATGTAAAGAATAAAAATTATAGAGAATTATATTGCAAACAACTTTTGTTTGAACAATTTTTATAAAAAAATATTTTTTTACATTTTGTCAAATTTCTCGAATACGGACCATTTTTGGAAAATTTTGTATACAACAAGAATTTTAGATAATAATATAAGAAGTAACTTTTATTTGAAGAATTTTCTTCCCCAAACGTAAATAACAGATATATTCCATAAAATATAAAAATGACCACCTATAAAGTACCCCCCAGATGTTCCGACTCTGCCCAAAATCTAATCAGCTCATTGGACGCTGGAATAAAGCTTAAGTTTAAAATTTTGTGTTTTTCTGTGTATCGGTACATGAGTTATGCGACACACACACACACACACATGAGCATTGAAAAGCGCATGAAAAATAGGACCGATTAAACTGGATAACTCAAAATGCATAAATTTCGAGTTATCTAGTTGATGCACTAAGGGGACGATATTAAGTAATTAGTGATTGTCTACTACTTATGTTTAAAACAAAAAATTCAACATTTTGCAGGTAAAAAAAAAAAAAAATAAAGAATGCACCATTGCAAAAATTTTGCTCTAAATTATGTATAGCAAATTGTTATAAAAATGATGGCATCACCTGGAATGACAGATTTTAATTCCTGTAGGTGTTGCCACTTTGATTTTGGAATTTTACACCTTTGCGTGAACAAATTAGGATAGTTTTCAATCGGAGGAAACTTTTTAGATCTTATGGGTAAATCAGATCATTCTAAATCTAAATCATCCAGCTTAACCCTGATAACCCTCCAGTCAGTGGATCATAATCAATAACCCTGATATCCATAAATACCGGATCTTTTGATACTCTACCTGGTAGTATCGATAAATATCTAAGAGGCGTTGAATAA